CCCCCCCTAATTAATTAAATTAATATATAAAAAATCGATTAATTAAAAAAATTAAAAAACTTTTGGAGGTCATTTTTGACATCAGAAAGCAGCTTTAAATAACTTTACCGAAGTCAAATCCGTGTGCTACAACTTAGGAACCATGAAATAAATTTGATAAAAAACTCACAATAAAAAACAATTAAGCCTTAATCGAGCCATATCAAAGGCTTATTAAAATCGCGATAAAATTTTTTCGTGCGGACAATGAATTTTTAAAAATTTGGGGACCTAAAAAACATTCCAAAAATTAAAAAAAAAATTTTGTCAAAAGTGGCCTTAACTACCGAATTTTACATAACGCTATGTAACCTTGACGAGTTATCTCGTCAATGGGTGTTAAGGTGGAAAATGCATGTGGCACTTAAGAATTCTTGAACATTTCATTATTATTTTAAAATGAGTGGAAACAAGATTTTTGTTATATAAATTTTTTTTTTAAACTAATTTGCTGAATAAATTGTTTTTGTGAAATAAGGTATGTATATATTTCAGACCAATCAAAAAAACAATATATTTAATATACTGTTTAATTTTATAAATTTGAAATTTTTGTTACCTCCAATAGACCTCTGCGAATTAAGAAATTCTGATCAGCACTAGTTGTACTTCCTCTCAAATAACTCTCTATTGCTCGAGATAACCAAAATCTAAAATAAAACCAGTATTAATAAAATTAATTAATTTATTTAAATTTTTAACAAATGTTTTTATTTATCAAATATACATTGGTGCCTTGTACTTTGAATTCAATTCATTCCAGAAGGCAATTCAAACTCCAAATCGTTCTAATTCTGAATCAATTTTCCCCATTAGGAATAATGGAAGGCAAAGTAATCCATTCCCAGATGCTAAACAATACCCATTTTGATAAACTTAAAATAACAAATACACATAATTTAAGGTAAAAAGAACACAATAAATAAAATACATAAATACTGTATAATAAAATGAAAATTGCATTTACTGATCTCACACTGTTGACCTCAGCATCTTAAACATGGAAACATCCATCACACCTGTACTGCTTACATGCTTTGCAATTAATTCCTTTTTCATCTCAATCATCAATATTACAACCTTCCTCAGACTTTGTTGCTTCCATACACTTCTAATATGCCACAGTTAATAAGTAAAGATTATATTGAGTTAAACAGAAAGTTTTTGCATATTTTTAACAGTTTTCATTACTTAGCATAGATGTGTGATTTAATTATAACAGTTATGAAATTTAACACATTTTTGAGATTAAAATGAGCTTTTAAACAAAGAATACAAACCTTTTACTTCACAGTTTGTTTGAATAAAATCAAGTTGAAATGTCTTCAGATAAAAAACATATTGGGCATATTATGCTTTATGAGTTTTGGAGAGGATATAATGCCATACAAACAGTAAAAGTATTGAAATGTGCATGGGAAAGATGCTCAAACTTCAAACATGTCAAATGTGATTTTAAAAAGTTCCATTCAGGAGACTTTGAACAAAAAGATAAAAAATGTACAGGACATTCAAAAGCTGTTGACAAAGATAACTGCAGAAAAATTGTTAAAAATAGACAAATAATATAAATATACATAACAAAACACACCAAAAATAAAGCAAGAAAAGCACTGAAAACATACAAGTGTAATGTGAGAGTGAGAGATAACATGGGCACAAAACAGATTGCATTTAAATTTTAAGCACATTTTTTCACTACATGCACAATTCAAACTTTGAAGCTTCATTTGAAGTCCACAATAAATTTTTGTCTAATTTAGCATTCATACTCTGAAGTGGTTGAAGTTAGATCATTTGTAGTACAAGGTACCACTGTATTATATTAAATAATCACATCTGCATTGTAAAAGATAATTACTTGCTGTCTCACATAAGTTATATGATAATGTATCAATATATGACTATGCATTGTGTAAGTTTTTTTATATTTTGGTAATATATGAAAAAAAAAGTTTGTTTTCCTCACAAGATTTTAATTGAAAGGACAGTGGATGATCAGTTAATGAACATAATCTGTTCCAAGACTACGTTTGCTATCCAAATTGTTTGTTAATAGATTATCGATTTACCATAGATTTTGTGGGAATTTGATTAATTTGTTCTGGAGACCCACAAAAATAATAAAAAATTATATACTTTCTTACTATGTTTATTTACATGTAATAACAAACAAAGCAATCTCTCCATTTTTTCACGCATGGCACATCTTGTTTCTCAGATGCAATTTTCGTTACTCCTTTATCAGCTTGAGTTTTTTTCATTATATCTTTCTTAGCTAAGACTTATCTACTTAGACCTGTTGAAGTCATCTGCCTACAATATCAGACATCTTCCGTCCACTCTCTACCTTGGCTATTATCTCTTGCTTAGTTTCTATAGTGAACACAGTTCTTGACACTCCACTCTTTTAAGGCCCCATAATAATATCAGTTTTTTAAATTAAATAAGAAGTTCAGAAAAGCATTTACAAAAGCTCAGAGAACAGAAATTAACTAGTGCAAAAAAGGTTATGTATACAATTATGAAAGTCTGATTCCATAAATCATGTATAGATGCCATTAAAATACAGTTTTGCAAATCTTAAATGCAGCGTCGCTTCTTGTGTTTGTTCTGTGAGGTGTTCGTTATCCAAATACAAGTTCATTGTTCGAACATAAAAATCTTTCACGAAAGTGTTCATTGTTCGATTTGTTTGCAGTCCGAACTGTTCGTTAACCAATCACCCACTGTATAATTAAAAAAAATGGAAATTATTACATAAATGCTATATATGTGAAAATAAAATATTAATAAAAACTTGGTAATGTGATTATATTTAAACATCAAAACAAAACATAAAACAAAATTAAATGTCTCATTCCTNTTAAAAATTATTATTTTTTTTATTATAAAAAGATATAAAAATTAATTTCATTAAGCAACAACTTTTTAATTATAAGACACTTAATTCTGTGAAGTAATTGTTCAAAATAGTTATTGATAACAGATTTTTGAATACAGTAGATTGTTAATTTAACAGACTAATTGGAAAGGGGCTGTCTGCTATTGCTGAAAGATTTAAGATTCTCATAATAAGTCACTATTTCCTAGTCGTTTAACTCAATGAACCTTACACAGTTAATATAAAACAAAACTCAACATTCATACTTCAAGAAATGTAGGGAAATTTATGATGCAATATTTCTATTATTTTTATGTAATAGTAATTATACAATTTGATTAATTAATTTAAAAATAAAAATGCATTTAATAAACAGTGGATTAATAATTAAAGTATTGTATTTGGCCAATTTCTTTTCTATTATTGCAAACAATCAACTAATTTAATAATCAACTAATTAAAAAATAAAATTTTACAATAAGAAAAATGAAATCATCAAACAGTAGCTAATTAAAATAAACAAATTGACATTAATTTATTACATATTCAATTATCTAGAGAAGAAACTCCAAATGTTGGTGTCTAAAAAAGAGCTACAACCGTAGTACAATTAAAGAAGACAGTCAAAGAATTATGGACAGAGGTTGATCCAGAACTGTAAAATACTTAGTGAAAGCAATATGCTGCTCAGGATTAAAGTGCATGCCAGTGATCATCCATTCCCAAACAGAACTGGGATTTATTGCTAAAGGCAGTATGTCCTCTGTTCATAATACTACATGCTTCTCAGTAATGGTACCAATACAAAGAAAGCTTTATTGGCTTTGTTTGCATTGCTGTGCTAATGGCAGACAAAATAGCTGCTATACATGAAAATTTGCCTCTACTAGTTGATAACCAATGGTACAAGAAATTATAGGGTTCTGTAGAGAGGCTTGAACTTGTCTCTGGATTATGAACAAAAGATATTATGGTTGTTTGTACTTGTCCCTAAATCAGAATCATCTCTCCTAGTGTTTTGTCTGAAGTGTCCAAGACCTTCCTGCCATTTATGTGCATGTACATGTATACACTCCTCCAACACATCCTCACAGTCAGGTGAGAACAGCCTAGATAACATGGAATTGAGCAAAACGACTGTCCTGCTTCCCTCAATTTGATGATGTGGCCTTTCTTATACATTTATATGAGAAAGATGCTATAACTAACTGCTATTGTAACCATTAACTGAAAAATTGCTTGTCTATAAAGTTTTATAAGTAAATGCTATCTTCATCCAATTAAATTTATAAAAAATATAAATATCAAATTTTTTTTCTGTTAAAGTTTTCTATAAGTAAGTATTTTATTATTATTTTTCCATATTGTCATATTTCCTTTAATAAATTTTCTAATTCTTAAAATTAAAGTTTATAATAAAATAATAATAAAGATTATAATAAATTTACTTAAGAATTTTTTTGTTATATCTAATAATTTTTTCACATCTATCTATATAACCCATTGAACGCGTGTTCATCTGCGTAACAGTAAGCCAAAAACAGGCACTAGATGCGCCCTAGTGATAATTTTAAATTAACAATAAATTATTTTTATTTGTAATAGGAATTTATTATTGATATGAATTTATTATTTATACCACGGAATAGTATAAATAATTATTATATGCCTTGCCTTGCCTTGCCTTATTATATGCCTTGATTAACCTTGCGCCGTACGTTTACAATATCACGAGACTCAGTGAACATCATGCATTGACTCTCAGAAAATTTGTTGAAAAAATGGCGGATACATTTAAAATCGAGGTTTACAAGCAAAGGTAAATAAACAAATTAAACTATTTTAAAGTATTTATAGAATGTTTAATAGGTAGAAATCTAGATCCGTATGACGTGATTGGGACTTTAACAGAGCTGTAGAGCATATTGATAGGAACAAAAAAGTCAAAGAAACCGTGCCTCATGGGAATTTGTAAAGAATGCCCACTAGGGGGTGTCCTGGGCTAATAGTATGAAATAAAATATTAACAGAATAAGATAGAAATTGAATACTTACTGCACATTAGTCACACATGAAATTTTACTAGCTCCTAAAAATATTACAATTCATTAGAAAAAGAAAAGACTCTTTCAAAGATTTTCATATATTATTTTAAAAATTATAGCACAAAATTTAAATAAGTAATTACCTTCAAGCTCTCTCAGTTCACTATATTCACTCCATGAAAGCATTGTATGTTTATATCTATTACAGAAATAACAATTTTATTAAAATGTCTTGATAAACTTAATTTAAAAATTTAGTTTAGAAAAACTGATTAAAAATTGATATTTTTTTTATTATAAAAAGATATAAAAATTAATTTCATTAAGCAACAACTTTTTAATTATAAGACACTTAATTCTGTGAAGTAATTGTTCAAAATAGTTATTGATAACAGATTTTTGAATACAGTAGATTGTTAATTTAACAGACTAATTGGAAAGGGGCTGTCTGCTATTGCTGAAAGATTTAAGATTCTCATAATAAGTCACTATTTCCTAGTCGTTTAACTCAATGAACCTTACACAGTTAATATAAAACAAAACTCAACATTCATACTTCAAGAAATGTAGGGAAATTTATGATGCAATATTTCTATTATTTTTATGTAATAGTAATTATACAATTTGATTAATTAATTTAAAAATAAAAATGCATTTAATAAACAGTGGATTAATAATTAAAGTATTGTATTTGGCCAATTTCTTTTCTATTATTGCAAACAATCAACTAATTTAATAATCAACTAATTAAAAAATAATAAAATTTTACAATAAGAAAAATGAAATCATCAAACAGTAGCTAATTAAAATAAACAAATTGACACAAAGATCTTTTAGTCACTTTTCTTTATTGAAATAACAAACAAGAAGTAATACTAGACTCAGTAATCTGGCCATTCCTTGTACAGAGAAGTGTCAGATTAGTGTGTGAAAAAGCCTAAAGGCAACAAAAAATATGACCTGTCACCTTTTAGTACTGATTCTTTTTGGAAGAAAATAGGAAAATAATATGGCATACCAAAATGCAATATTCTACATAGAAATTAAACCCAAGTAAACAGGAAAATAGGATATGTGACATAAATAGCATTTTCATGGAAACAGAAACATCTAATTGATCACACCGGAGGGTATGTCAGATTAGTGAGTGTGTTTTAATTATAAATGCATTTTTTTAAAGTGTAAATAGTATGTAATTATTATAAGATTAGTTAATGATATAATATAAAATAACTGAAAATAGAAATTATTCACTTAAATGCATTTCTTTCTAACATCTATAAATCTTAAGATAATGTAAAAATTTTAAATCTGTTATAGAAGTTCATTAAAATCAAAATAAAAACGAATATATTAAAAATAAACTTACTCTGAATGATCACAAAAACTATGTATTAAACGTAATACTTGAATTTTTAATGCCACCTCCTAAAATTAATATAAGCATTCATTTAATAACAATAAGTGAACCAAAATATATGATTGTATTAAAAACTAGATTTCACTTTTTAATAAATCAAAGGAACAAAATATTTTAAAATGAAGATAATGTTAATCTGCTTCTCAACACACTCATCTAGGTTATGTAAACATCAATGTAATAATGCTTTTGAACATAGAAAAACATTAATTTTTTATTCATATTTGAAGTTTAGACTATTCACAAAAATATAACATTTTCGAATCTATCTTTTAATCCTTTAACACAACCACAGAAGTAACAGTTACAATGGTTTTGAAGAATGAACTGACTGAATGAACAATATATAATAGAATCCAAAAGAATTAGAAAAAACTTTATAATAATCTGTAACTGAATATTTTTAAATCAATCAACTATAAGGGAAAGATAATCCTCTACAAATAAGCTGAACCTTGAGAATTATAGTTTAAAACTTTTTAAATATATTTTTTTTTGAAGAAATGTTTGTATTCACATAAATGCACTAAAAAGTAAAAAACGAATTTTCTTCAGCTTTCACTGTATTCTTGGTATTGTGCAACCAAAAGTAATAGCATGGGATCTTAATGTTTAGAAATATTCTTAGTTACAATTTCTATCAGTTTTTATGGGCTTCCCATGAGTACCCCAGGATAACAACAAGAATAATGTGAAAGAATTTTTTTTTTACTTTTTAATGCATTTATGTGAATAAAAGCATTTCTTTAAAACTTTCAAATATTTTTTTTTATTTTCCACCATTTTCCACATATGTAACACTGAATTATTGAAGTTGTTCTTGTTTTAGCATTCAATCGAAAAGTGGGTGAAAAATTGAGTTATAAGATTTTATGTAGATAGTAAGTTGCCTGGTAAAATACCTTAATACAACTAGGTAAGCAAATCAATGACAGCCAATTTCATTTGAAACAAACTGTCATTGGCTTGCTTATTTAGCTGTTTTAAAGCCACTACACAACATGCCCAGCAGTGGCGTGCAGTGACATTTGATGATAGGGAAGCTGTTTTTCCATAAAAATTATAAACAAATACTGGAAATTACAAAAATAAACAGTTTATTTATTTTAATTCTAAAATAGATATATTGACTGCCTTTTCTTTTAATAAGTGACTGAAAATGTTTAGCCACATATTCTACTAAATGTTTTTTTTTTTTAATATTCATTAGAATATTTTTTAATCTAATGTTTGAATATTTAAAATCAAATCAAAGTTAGAATTACAATGAAATACAATTTTGTTAATTATCAATTTTACAAAATAAATTTATAAATAAAATATACTCACAGGACTGCATTCACAACTTGTATTATGCCCAGAAAATCTGTTGTGATCACTTATAAATTCAATAAAATATCATTTCAATTAAATTTGATTTAAATTTCGATACAAATTAAGAAATGTGAATTAAACATACATGTTCCATCTCCATACAAAATGATCAAATAATTCAGATAACTGAGGAATTAATCCTAATTCAGCAAGTTCCTTTTGAACCTGAAAATTAATTAGAAATATTAATTATATTTGCTCATAATTATTATTAATCTTTAAATTAATTCCAAATTAATTCTTATCTCATTCAATTTTTACAATCAAATAATAATTACATATGCACAGAAGGTCATAAAAATTCTCAGGGTCTCTCTAATAATATTTTGAATCATCTTAATTTGAGGATTATTTCAGTCTGATTTGAAATATTAAAAATAAAAAAATAGCATTTAGTCTTCTTAATTTTTTTCCAATTTGTATATTCAGATTTTACTTAGTTAATTTTTTTCTTTTGAGACTATATTAAAAAAAATTTGTAGGGCTTATCTGTTGACATCACTGAAGCTTTAAATGTTCTAAGTACTGAATATCATAGTTTTTTCAAAAGCATCTTCATTAACATTGGCCCATCTTTAATATAATTTCATTTCAATAGCAAATATTTTCATTTATATCAAAAGTATTCAAAATTAATTAACTTCTATATCATTGTGTGTAATATAAAAAAAAAATTAAAATTCTTTTTCCCAAATTTTCTACTACAGTACTAAATAATTATTTTATTAATATATTATGTTTATTTAACATTTACATCAACATAACATAACCAGGTGATAACTAGTTTCAGAGTATGTTGACTCAATGAAGATACCAGAAAAACAAAATGCTATTAATAATTTGTCTACAATTGTTGATTGGACTGCCAAAAATCAATAGAATCACAGAAATAGCAGACATATGACTTTCTCTGCAGGCATATCATAATCATGTACCAAATTTTCCACACTATAGAGAGCACATATGACAAACAAGCAAGCAGTTAATGTGAATGTTACAGGACTGGAAGCAACTAGAATCCTATCTAAGCATTTCAAAAACAAAAGGATCAAAGTATTAATGATCTAACCACCCACCATGCACAACCTGATTAAAATTGAAAACACATCCTTCTCTAAAGAACATGAAAGTGGAGTATATAATATTCTGGTCACATAACATGGTCTTTTACCTGGGTAATACTTGGGTACCCTTGCAACCAGATTAAAAGAATACAAGGACAACTTAAAGAAAGAACTGGTATCAAGAACCCTGGATGAAGAACTGATGAACAACTGGTGTAGTATGAACTCTCTGTTGTAAGCAGATATCATTTCATCTAACACAAAGTTTCTTCCTATTAGAATGGCCAAAGAACTTGCTATAATGGCATCTACCCCCTCTGCTGAACAAACAAAGAAACTAATGAATTTATGCATGAATAAGGTCATTTTCTTTATTAGCTCACAGTCAACTGGTAACAAATTACTTGCTACCTAACTCAGGGAGATCTCATATTTTGTCAGCCTCTTTCAGAATTCTTGAGTCCAAAAAAAACAATGATGATGTATGATATTACAATGATGTTAATTAAAAGTAAAAATAATAATAATAAATTTTATTTTATTAAAGTTAGTTTTATTCTTTCTCTTATTTTACTATATTTCATCACTATTGTAATTGTATTAGTCCATTATTTTTACAATCTTGATGTTTTCATTTTAAATTGTAACATTTAAATTAAATAATGAATCTGTTTTAGCTTTTTAAAAACTGTTCTTTATTTCAAATTATTTACAGAATACTGAACAGAAACTTAGATGTTCTCATTCAAATTTCTAATACAAACTTTTATGATCTGATGAGACAGAACAACATTTAACCAAATAAAAATCTTTGATTCATATTCTTAATTGTTTCTCCTGCTAACATAACATATTTGTTAATTTTTCAAGTTGTAAAAATCAAAATAGCATAAAGTTACCAATTTGGAAAAGCACCATGCAATTTTAATCAGGTTGTGCATGGTGGTTTGGCTGACATAGCTTAATGCTATGTCAGCTGACTCAACAGTTGTCAATTAATATAGGTTATATGTTGGGCATTTTCCTAAGGTTAGCACTGAGTTTATAACTTTCTATGTTATCTCTAGGAAAATGTTAACACAAATAATACTAAATTTATTAAATAATTCAAAGAATCTCTATGTAATTCAAAGAGTCACCTTTCCAAAGTTGACTACTTGAATTATATAAACAATCTTTGAATTAAGTATTATGGAATCAATAATTTTAAGGAAAACAAAATTATATATTACTATAATATATAAATTTACCTTTCTTCTATGCCTTCCAACTAATAACAATCCTAATACACAAACAGCATTTGCTCTAAATGAAAATTCAGTTGCAATTTGAATTGCTGATTCTGGTCTCATGAGACCATTTGTATCAGACCACTGTGATATTCCTAGGAAAAAACAAGCAAATATCTTTAACTATATAAAATTAATAAAATTCTGTTTGAAACAAGTAAGCTAATTGAATTTTTAGTATTGTAGAAAGGTTGGTTAAAATGCTATTTTCTAAAATTATGATTATACAGTCGAGTCCGCATAATTCGACACCCCAAGGAAAAGTGGAAATGTGTCAAGCTATCCAATATGACAACTAAAGCAAAGTTGAAAAAAAACCACAAAACTACAATTAGGAAAATACAGTAGTGCAATGTACAGTACCTCTCTGACTATCCATCACTGGCACTAAGTTAGTTTCTACTCCAAGTACCCCATTAATTTCCATTGCCTTTTGTTTCAGTATCAGTCCTGAAACAGGAAGATTCGATGAATGAATTTGCTTTAGCCAATGTACCAGAACATCTTCAACATCTTTGTATGGTGACTTTCTCTGGCATTGTGGAAACAGCCATGATGAAAATCCAAGAAAAAGTTTCTTAATTTCCTCTTTTTTCTTCACAATTCCCACCAGTATTGTTCTTGGAAGGTTTTTTTTTTGTTTTGCAAATTCAGCTTGTAAAGTTTTCTTACATTCAAATTCAGACACAAGTTTGTATTTGTCCTTCAGCATAAGCATTGTTAGCTTTTGGACACTCATTTCTAACAGAAATGTGAAACACATGCTACAAATAACGCATGGCATCAGAAAATGCAAAATCGGATTCTGCTGTGACGTTGACTTAGATTGTATAGTTTTTTTTTTGTTTATCTGTTATTATTTTATATATGAAAATATATAAAATGTTAATATATACATTACATATTACGGCATTTTTATTAATAAGTCAACTACCTTCCTGAAAAAATGAGTTCACACCACACAGTTTAAACTCATTTTTTCAGGAGGGGAGTTGACTTATCAGACATCTAAACGAGTGTGGGACAGGAAAAGCATTCGACTTTTCCAGTGGTGACAAGTTAAACGGTGTTGAGTAAACCAGAGTTTTTTTTATCATTAATGCCTATGTAAGTCAGCCGGGACCACAGAAAACTGACTACTTAACCGACGGTGTCTAGTTATACCTATGACAACTTATGCGGATGACTACTTATGCATGCTCGACTATATTACATTTATAAATAATTCACTTCATCAAATCACAACTTGTAGAATAATGTGTATAAATTGTGGAATAAATTGTGAAAGAAATTAAGTTACTCTAATAATTTTTAAAATTTAAAAAAACTATATTTGCTTTGAAAGTAAAGTTCATCAACTTCAGTTTTTCTAATTAAAAAACTAGAATCAAAAGGAATGTTAACTATTAAACTATAGTTTCTCTTTAATTTGAAATAATGGCATTTTTTTTTTTTAAAAACAAATTCATTTTGAAAATTAGATGGAAAAACAGCTTTGGTTATAGCTTTGAATTATGAAATTTCTAGTTTTCCTAATAAAGCACATTTCTAACATGAATACTCTAAATTAATCCAAACACAAATCAAATACAGAACTTTCAGAAAAAAATATACACTGTTACCATGCATAATAAACAAATAATCTTTTGATTGTTCCAGAGTTATGCAAAAGTTTACTGAGTCATGTTTTCAACCCTATTTCAAGCAAACCTCAATTTACAATCAATTGGAATATGGAACAGATTAAAGGAAAAAAAATATTTTAAAATATTCTACAAATCATTTGATTATAAATGTAAACTTATATGTTTTCTCTAAATTGTTCCATATTCTAATTGGTTATAAACAGAATGGTTTAAAATAGGACTGAAAAACACTCAAACTTTATTTTGGTTTTAGAATTATGCAACTTGTTAATTGTTCCAAAATGTCTGTGTCAAGTTTTATTTACTTTAATGATAGTTATATACCATTATAGGACAATTTAGTTCCAAGATTCAAAAGTCAAACATTAGAACCTTAGCTAAATTGTTAATTGACATGTATTCATAATACATCCTGCATGCAATATTTCAAATATAAAATTGCTGTAATGGTGCTCTTAGAATCACATTTTATTCTGTATTTTATGCTGTTGTTATAAAGTATCTGTACTTTATTTTTATTTACAGTTGAGAACAACAAAATAGGTAAATTTGTGTTTTCTTATTAAAAATATTTCCATGAAATATTCTTAAAGAACAAACAAACAAAAACAATATGTAAATTATTTATTTTTTCCACTTCCTACTTCGATTTTTATTCATTATTATAAAGACACAATATTGCTAATATTGTGATTATTTATTAGAATTTTGAATCTAAAAGTTTATAGCAGTATATTGTGTGTTAAGCACAGCAGTATATAAGTGTGGTACATTATATTACATTATTTCACAACATCAGGATTCAACATATTTATTTGAATAGAAGTACTTTTCACTTTTAAATTTAAAATGAAATCAGGATTATCAACACAAATTAAGAATATAAGAAGTAAAAGGAAGCACAAAGACTCTCAAACAACTCTACAATTTTCAATACTTTCTTTTTTTAAATGAAAACAAATATATATTAAAAAACTAACTTTGAATTACATCAAGAAAAAACATCAACAATAAGCAAGAATAAACATGATGATGTGAAGGATTATCAAAACTATGGAAAAATAAGTATTTTAAACAACCCAAAACACGATCTATATATAGATACATAGCCAAACAATCACAAATACTCGGGCTATTAATCTGCTATTTTTCATAATTAATACTAAGTAATTTGCTACTAGAGGTAAGGTTAAACACCATCTCTCATCTAAGTTAATAATAACTTATTAAATAATTTAGAATCATCTGGAAGAAAAGAACTGGCCCAGTATGGGGGCTTGAACCTGCAACCTCCACTTGCCACACAAATAAACACTAAATAAGCCTTTGCTTCCAAATGTATTTAAATTTAGATCTAGCCTTATGTAGTTAATCATGGCACCAGCTGAGGACATAAATACATCTGGAAGTGAAAGCTTATTCAGGGTCTGGATGGTGCAATTGGCAAGCACACCACATGGCAAGTGGAGGTTGCAGGTTCAAGTCCCATCCCGGGCCAGTTTTACTTAGTATTAATTATCAAAAATAGCAGATTTATAACCCAAGTATTTAAGGTGATCATTTGGCTATGTAACTATGGAAAAATACATTATTATATATAAGAGAATTTTGATATCAATAGAATTGAAACTGAAGTTAAGAAGGCAATTTGAAAAAATTTAGAAAAAGTCTGATATAGCTTCTGTCAACTAATCTTTACATATATTAATTCAAAATTTACATTGAAGTTGTTAAATAGAGAAGAAATAGTTAAGACATTACAGTAGCTTGTTTGGAACAAGCAAAAACAAGTATATTTGTTTTCCTTACAGAATATTTAATATAAGTACAATCAAATTGACTGTAATAAAAAAAATATATATATAAATTTTAACATTAAAACTCTGAAGCAATGTATTCTTTGTTTAATCTAATAAAATTTTCAATACCTTGCACTACATTAATTTTGGCTTTAGCCAAAACATATTATTGAATAAAGTACTGAAATTACAGAATTCAATCACTAACTATGAAAACAATTAATTAATCATCTTCTGAGTAATTCTTAAACTTGGATGAATGTTGAAGGAGACAACATTTCGGTTTTTTCGTCTGAAAAAATGCCTTTTAAGTGATTATAAAAGTGAATGATTATATCAAACAAATATTGCTAATTTTAGCTTTGTGTTAAATATAATTCAGATATGATATACAGTGGAACTCATTAATTAATTTAACATATTCTCAGGGATCAGCAGATTTCAGTCTAAACTCAAGGAAAACTTAGAAAAGGAGTTTTGGGAAAGTAGTGATAAAAAAAAAATCAATTGCAATGAATGAAATTAATATTTGTATATAGTAATCCATTCTGTTACTTATCTAAGATAAAATTCAATAACTTGTGTATAATCACTAAAAGAATTTATGATTTAGTTAGTGAGAAATAGTTTAATCTACGATGACCACTAGACACTTTTTTCCTTTGCTCCACCTAATGGTCAGAATACAATTATATTTTATTACAACATAAAATTTTTATTATTTTTTCATACCAGTAGAATACATAACAACATCATCTTTAAATTCACATTATACTAGATGAAAATAAATTAATGTTAGTCATGAACAAAACTTTTTTTTATTATGTACTGTACATTTATTATATTTTAATGAAATGTAAACAGATTGTTATTGTAATGTAACAGTATCAGTTATTGACATTCATGTACAGTATTTCAGAATGCAAAGCTAGTGTAAATCAGTCTGTAATCCAATCCCCTTTCTTGTTTGCGCAATAGTGCAGCAAGGTAAAAATTAAGGAAGAAATCACCCAATGCCCTTTTAACCTGTGAACATTAAATCAAAATTACATTCTAGAGCACAGTTAAAAAAAAAAGCAAGCTCTTAAAATTAAAGTTCAATGTAAAATTTTTTTGATATGAATTAGTGTCAAATGTCATATATTCAAATGTTTTATGTATTCTATATTTGATATACAGTATTTATATAATTAAGCAGAACACAACTGAATTGTTAACATATAGTTAAGAAATTGTTTTATTGTGAATAATAAAGTAAAATAATGCTGAAGTATAATAAATCAACATAAACTTGTAATAATTTCTGAACTTTAAACATAGAGAATTTATTTATTTAGAAACTTTTAATGCAATATATTTTTAAATTGCATTATTTTTTTAAGCATTCTTATATTTGAACATCATCAGCTTCATTTTTCATCATGAATTATAAAAAGGCCACCATTGTTACTCTAATGGTACCTTCTTTGATATTTCTAATTCAGATGAGTAAGAATTCATCATTTGATGTTCAAAAGATTTATTTATTTTAAAAATAGAAATTAAAGTTATTTCTTTAAATTTAAAACTCTATACATTGTTTATACACAAGAAATTAAATTAGTTTTAATTGTTAATTCTAAAATTTTTTAGAACAAATCATTCCATCTT